GCTATGACTCCACAGTAATTTTTCCTATTTAAATGAATAACATACTCTAGATTCAAATGTATAACTAAATGTCTATCATGTGGTTCTTAGTGCTCTGGTTATAATTAAATAGACTGTTTGTACTTGAAGTATATTAAAATTTTCCCTAATCCTTCCTCCTCCCTCCCCCCCAGTAAAGAATATGAACTATTTATAAAACTTTCATTGTCTCTTCATTTGGTTTTACTTATCTAGATTCATAAGCCATGTATGGTAAGTTTCAGACCTATAATTTGTGGTTTCCTGCTTCCAAGAGCGCTCCAGAGTTCTCGTGTGACTGTTTTCCGAGTTAAATATTTACACACACACACAGGGTACACAGGCAGTTCATATTTGACAGGATTTAACAGCATCTACATCTGTTTCTCATCAGTGCATGACTGGAAAATGTGCCTACTAAACATTGTTTAATGTATTTGTCCCCAAAATTGCTTTTACTTTAGCCTTGAGACATTTCTATGTAAAAAACAAAACAAGGTGAGGGTGCCCCTCTCAGGCCATTTCCTTCTCTGGCTTCAGGATCCTGTCTTGCTACCATTCAGTACGTTCCAAACCACACCAAAGCATGGGGCATATCTTCTTTTTAATCAGTGTGTGAGAAGCACAAATTGAGATACGAAGGGGGAAATATCCCATTTAAATTTTCTTTAAAAGCCTCCAAAAGCAACAACTGGAGTTGGGGGTGGGTTTGCAAGACTGCATTGGGAGAGAGTGCCCACTGACGCAAACACGTCCCAAGTCTATTTCAGGCTCACGGAACACAACTTCCGGCGTGGGCTTTCCAAACACAAAATTAGAAAATCCGTGGCTTTCAAGAGGTCATCAGTCCTCGGTCCCCGAAATTTCAAATCACAACACAAACATCTGGTTTAAATGCTCCCTCACCTAACGAAGTCGAACATACTTTAAACGCAGGCATTTTTCTAGAAATACAAAGCATGATTAAATCATAAGAAAATTCTCTTTAAAACATCGATTTAGAATAAATTAATCTTGTCAATCATTCTGTTGTTTGGGGGTGTCAAGCCACAAATCCATTTTCTCATTTTTTATTTGTATATTGTTATTATAGGAAATAACAAATCAAAATTTAAAAGAAAATAATAACTTCAGAGTCATTATAAACTCTAGAAGCTAATCATAGTTCCTGTATATAAAAAAACAAAAATAAAAGGAATGATTCTTCTTAACACTTTTGAGACTTATTTTTCCAATTTGTGTCTAATTCAATACTTTGACTTTTTTCTTTTCTAGTCTTGATTATCTTCAAGCCATTCATAGCCCATTATGCTCTGGAGAAAAAGTGGCTGGATAAAATAAAAGGAGAGAGGCTAAAACGGGTGCTATTGGCTGCCATAGCCCCGAGGAAAAGCTTCATTCTCAAGAAGCCTAGAAATCCTGGCATTAATAAACCATTTTGTGCAAATGAGAATTTAAATAATGCTCAATACTCTTAACTCCTGTCACACTGATTAAAAAGTATAGCAGTAGATTTTTAGACATACTATTTTTAGACCTTCAATTTTATGAAATAATAAAAAAAAGTTACTCAAATCCAGCTATTACTTTGCATACTTAGAGAAGCACCTCCCAGGATATTATGTATTTTCTCAAATAACATACATGTATCTTTTATGATAAGCCAGATAAAAAATATTAAACAAAATCCTAGAAAATACAAAATAAACTTTAGTAACTTAAAGCACATCAAAGGTTGCCTGAGGCTGTGGAAAATAAAGACTGGAGAGAAGGATTACAATTTCTTGATTGTGATGATAGCTATATGATAGTAGACATGTTCAACTGTACACTTATCAAACTGTATACTCTTAAATGTTTCATTATTAAACATCAACTATACCTCACTATAACTGGGGTGGTTTTTCTTGTAACATCTTAGCATGAGATTAGTTTCCATAAATTTGAGAAAGAGAAGGAAGGCCAAAAATGCAAAAATCTTGCCTATCAAGTCATCTTCCTCACTGATATTTACTATCTACTTCCATAGTTTGAAATTTTCCTTACTAAGTTCAATTTATTTAAATGGAAGCTTAAATATATCAAGATTTAGAATATGAAAGAGCATTTCAAATCGGTAGGAGCAATGTGGCTTATTCAACTGACTAGCCATGTGGAAAACACCTAATAAAGGTATCTTTTATTAAAATAAATTTCAGGTAAATCAAAGATCTGAATATATAAAATAAAAGTATTATAAGTAAGTACAGGAAAATATATTTCTTTGAGGTAATGAAAGGTTCTTTAAAACAATACGCTAAACACAAATTCCAAAAAGATTAGTGAATGTGACTACCTAAAATAAATTTTTTTTCTGCACAGAAAGAAAAATACCATGCAAAGTCAAAAAACAAAATGATCAACTAGGGAAAATATTTCAACACATACGACGATGAGTTCATTTCATTGATATATAAAGACCTCTTATAAATCAGTTATAAAAGACTATTAAACTAATAGAAAAGTCAGCAAAGAACTTAGAGGCACCTCAAATGGTTTAGAGCAACCTCAGTCCCAAAGAGACGGAAAGTAAAATGTCAATGAGATATCAAAAGGCAATTCTTAAGATATATGCCATTAAGATAGACACATAAGTGGGAAAAAACCAAGATGTTGAACAATCTACACTGTATGTCTCCACCTCTGTAAAAATAACTATGCATGTATATGTGTATAATATATATGCATATTTACATATACAGAGATATGTATACATGATTACCTATGCATAGAACAATCTAGAAGAACATTGTAAAAACTGGCTACAGTGGTTACTTCTATGATGGGAACCTGGGTGTCTTGAGTGAAGAGTCAAGATAGCTTTCCATCGTGTGTTCTTTTACACTGTTTAAACTTTTAAACATATATCTACATTATCTTTTCAATGAAAAATAACTACTTGACAAAATAAACTAAATTATTTTAATCCAAAAATTTTGACTGAGCCCTGGCTGGTGTCACTCAGTGGATTGAGCACGATCCAGCAAACCAAAGGGACTCTGGTTTGATTCCCAGTCAGGGCACATGCCTGGGTTACAGGCCAGGTCCCCAGTTGAGGGAGTGCGAGAGGCAACCACACATTGACATTTGTCTCCCTCTCTTTCTTCTTCCCTTCTCCTCTCTCTAAAAATAAATAAATAAAGTCTTCTAAACAATATTGACTGAGAATCTACTTTGTGCCAACCATTATTGTAAGGGCTAGGACTATGACTTGGGTGAGCAGTGTAAATCTCTGTCCGCGTGGCTCTGACATGCTTCTGGGGGAGGAACAGTGAAAGTCTCACATGAATTCCATGCAGTCTGCACAGTCTTGACCATTACAACCATGTTTTTTTTGGATGTGACATTTTTAAATACAAGCAAATGTATTTGGTTTTATATAAAATAGCAACTATAGAAACACATTCTTTGCAACTGATACAATTGTCATCATCATAATTTCAATAGACCTTGTTGGGTGAGAAGCAAAAAAGAGGTTCATGGTTCATGCTTTCATATGTATCCATATAATTTAAGAATCTTTTCTCCTTGAAATGAAGTATTTCTAATCTCTCTGCCTTTGTTTTATGGTTTACCAACTGAATACTAAGACTCTCACTCTCTTACCACTTAATTCATTATTTTAGGATTCAAATCGAAGTTATGTTCTCATGATTTAGGACAAAAACAATCCTAAAGACTTTTATTGTCATACATACACATATGATTTCCATCAATGTCCTAAATTCTCATTTTTATTGTCTTCCTAGAACAACTATGCCAAAAAAATGTAAAATTATAGCTTAATTTCATGTATGAAAATACAATATTTTGGTTAAAAGATGGTACAAGCTAAAAAACAACATTTCTCAAGTATGGTAGATGAGCACTCAGCTTCCTCAATGTTCTGTTAAAAGGTTACTCGACCAATGAATTGGGAAATACTGCTTATTAAATTTCTCCACAATGAGAATTTTTTCCACCTTTGAGATTTACAGTGCATATTTGCAGTGTACTATTGCAATATTATGTTATATCTGCATGTGAGATGAAGAAGTTTGCTTAACTTTTGAACCTTTTTCTTTCTTCCTTCTGCCACAAGTTAGTCCTATGATTCCTTTTAAGGCTTGGATTTTCTCCAGTCCTAATGTTCTCATGTCTAAAATCTAAGAGTTGAGACTAGATGATGTTTTAGGTCCCATTTTACTTTATTATTCTAGATTCTTGGTCTCACTTTAGAAATATTAAGCAATTTAAGCATTCAATGTTACTGTTTTGAAACACAGCCAAATAAATATAATCAGTAATTACTGAATTCCAGTGGATGTTCCATGATTAATTAATGTGATATGAAGTGCAACCCAACCTAAAACACTGACTGGTACCTTATGAATAGCAAGGAATAATATTTTAAATTCTTTTTCAAGGCTACTAGGCATAAGTCTCATAAAATGACACAAAGAAATACTCTTAGACACAAGACTGCACACACAAAAATTGTGGGTGTAGGTTCTAATTTTTCTGCAAAACAGGAGGAAAAGGTTAAAAATTACTATTTTAAAAATCAACTAAGAGTAATATTTGTAAGTAACTCTTCAGATTAACAACTCTGTTGTGATTCCCAATATCAAGCATGCACAAAAGAAAATGAATTATATTTCCATGGAGCCCCTACTCACTTGACTGTCAAACAGATTTGTATCAGCCTGCATTAAGAAAGTTTGTAACTAATCTTGGTTTAAGAAAGACTGAGGGAACGAGCAATGAAAACCAATAAATCTCTTGACATCCGGGGAAATTATAATCTAAGCTCAAATCAAGATGTCTCAGTTCTGAATCTTTGTTTTCCTCTCAGTAAGTTGCTGAGGACTTCCTGGCCCAACCTGGTGTTCAAGCTGCAAAAACTTCTTATTCATTCCCAGCTAACATGAAGCTTCCACCTGGAAGAATACAGCACAACATACCTCTGTCACAAGGAGCACAGGCACAGTCTTGGTCCCCTGACAAGAAGAAAGTGAAAAGACCAAGTATGTGTGAGTTTAGAACAACTGAAATCCAATATCACCCACCAGATTGCTTCCTCATAAAGATAATCCTCTGTAATAGAGCACAGCAATAACCAACAACAATAAAAGCAAAATCCAGTTTTTTTAAAAGTATAGGACAAAAGAGATTCAATTCAAACCACTCCCCCACATCAAAATGTGATAGGAAACAACCCTCCTTTTAACAGAATACCAATAGGACTTTTAAAATTATAGCCTCTCTTTCAACTAACCCTCTTCCCAAAGAACTTTTATTGGATGCAACTTTAAAGCCAATCCAAGAATTTCCTCTTCCAGTGCCCTTCATAAGTATCTGCAGCCGTGGTACTGGATCTTCCTAAATTCTGATCATCTCTTGACCTTGATCACTATACTTGACTTTCAAGGCCACTAGGGTCACAAATAGCCTAGTTTAGCTCTGAAGTTTGACAAAGCATTTTCTATAGCCTACCAGCTAAAGGTAAACCTTAAAAAAGAAACAATTTGTTTCCATATTTAAAAGATGCAGTTTCTACCAAGAAACACTGCTACAATTTCACTAATTCATATATAGGTCAAATGCAACTGAAAAATCAAGGACCATGATGTTTTCATACTTCATACTGTGCAACACAGCTGACCTATGGATAACTTTTTATGAGGCTAACTTACCTTCTGGGCAAAGCCCATGAATGACAAACATTTTTCTGAGAGCCTAAACTTAATACACCAAGAAGGTAACACTGGTTGTTTGTATGCATGTGTTAAGAACTTTTTCATTAAAATATCTTGAAAAACTTGGAGATTCTCTCCTTCAGTAAATGGAACTGCAGACTTGAGTATTGTGAGGAGGTTCTGCTTGAACTCCCACGTCTTCTGTGCCAGTTAGAAGTTTCCTCCCCACACCCATCCACACAGACCCTTAAATCACTAGAGAAACCACCAGGCAGAAAGTCAATACAAATACCCTCTGGGCCTAAGAGAAGTTGTCATTTAATGAGGGAGGCTCAAGAGAATGGGAGGCTGGGTAGTGGCTCTGTTGTAGAAGAGGTGAATTATAGGGCCAGAGAAAATTGTCAGTAAAGTATGTGTGACCAGGAGGACCCCCAAAAGCCTTACAATATTTCAATGCTCATCCGATCTTGAAGCAGGCCTGGTGGTGACCCTGGAGGGACTGTGGTCAGGGAGACTTGAAATAAATATAACCTAATTGAAAAACATTAACGGATGCCTTGTAGAAGTACAGGCCTCCAAAAGTAGATCAGTTTCATTTCCTAATGATCTCCAGAGTGTCACTGGGTTGGGTCCTCAAGTACCCCAACTCATTAAGGGGTTTCCTCAGTCACAGACTGCCCTCTCGACTGCAGCATGCTGTCATGCAAAGCCTTGACAGAAAAGAGTATGAATTAGGAGAGACGAAGGAGGAAATAAAGCAAATCATTACCACCCTCATACAGGAGGAACAATACCTCATTATACAGAAAGACATTTCCATGAGAAAAGCTGAAAGAATATTCAAAAAGATATATTATAGTCTTTGTTGTTGGGCAGTTAACATTCAGAGGATCTAGATTAGGTACTCATCAGATCAATTTAGGGGACAAGCAGGCCAGATGGTTTGGCAATCCAAACTAGCTCTGTTGGAAAGATTTAATAGGCTAATGCACACACTGGTGTTAGTAGCTTGTAACAACTGAAAGACTTTTCCCTCCCAAAAATATGTTTGTTTTAACTCAGATTTAACTGTGGAAAGAGTCTGGAAGTCAGACAATCTAGACAGTGAACTACGCATTCCCTCTAACAACACATGCACATTTGGGAAATCACGAAGTCTCTTTGGATCTCACTTCCCTATCCATACAGTGGCAGGGTCAGAGTAAACAGAGTCTGAAGTCCCTCCTCACTAAAATAGGTTTGGTGTCTGATTCTTCAGAGTAAGCTCTAGCATCAGACATCCAAGACAGGTAGGTGAGCAGGGGCCTCTGCCACTCAATTGCAAGAATAAGAACACATGCCTGGTGGGACGAACCAAGCTGGGTGACACTGAGGAGTCGACAGTTAGACTTGAACCCAAACTTTAGCTAGATGATCAATCAGTAGAGACAATTTACTAGCACAAGTTAGGAGCTCAGCCATTCCCCAGGAGTATGACCTTGGACAAGCCACTTAACCATTCTGAGCCTCAGTTTCCTCCCTGGGAGTAACACTGTCTGCCCCACAGACAGCACAAGTCTTTGCATTGATATAAAAACATGCACACATGCACTTGTAGATTGTAAAGTAGTCACAGCTCATTGGTTCCATATGAACAGGATTCAGGACGTGTCCTTCTCGAAGAATAAAATAAAACAAACAAAATAAAAAGTCTAGAAAAACACTTTCAAGAAAACAGCTTCCTACTTGCCCATTCCTAAGATACAGGAATATACTGACATGTACATTCACATGATATACTGACATGCTAATATGTGAAACTTCTCCATGCAGCCTGTTTGAGAAACTACAATGAGGAACAAGGAACCCTTGAACCCTGTTCTCTGGCTTCATTTAATGGCTTGTGCTGAAAGTTCCAAGTATTGTTGAGGAGTCCCCATTGGCCAGAGGTCTCCCTCCACTGGCATAAGGCTCATATTCACATGGTAAAAAAACATGGGCCTGTGGGGTGTAAACAGTAGTGTTCAATGCCTAAATGCAGTCCAAGATTGAGAGGGGAATCCCTTGCTAATTTTCTCCCAATGCAAAGCACATAGGAGCAAGGATTTCATCCAAAGTGGAAATGACTATACCTTGTGTCTAGGATGCTGCAACTACCGGGAACACCAAAACTTGAAAGCAAAGTCACTTTGGAGGGATTCGCTGAGCCATACTGCCCTGCTTCCTTACCCTGCTTTGATGAATGCTCTGGTATCTGTCTTCTTGTGCTGGTATCTTGGCTCGGAATAGCTGGCATTCCCACCAAGGCAACTGATTTGTACATAACTCTGGAATAGTAGTGAGCGTTCACAGAATAAAACTAATAGTACTTTAGTCCCTTGCTCAAACCTTGCTTGACAATTCCCTCGTTAAGTCCCCGTTATCTATTCGAAAGTGGCCCTAGTTGATTAGTCAAGCTGAAAATCCAAGTGCAGGAAATTTTAATAGCTTGTGTTGTGTTCTAGGGTGAAATCCAGCTTTAGCTGGAAAACCTCAGGCATGTTTGACAAAGATTTCTAGTTCAGATCCTTCTCTTTGAGAGAATGGCTGCAACCGAATCTAACCAAGAAAGGGTGTTTTTATTATAATTCACATGATTATAAGGGACCTTAAAAAATTAGCTTGTCTGTTTTCTTGCAGTGAAATACATAGAAAATATTTGGTTTTCGACAGGCATTTGTTGAATGTTAAGTATTCAAAAATGGGGATTTGTCATATTATATGATTAACATTCACACTCCCAACTAAGAACAACTCTTTACTTTTTCTGAGGGTGGTAAGAGACATAGGGATGTATGGCCTAATAAGGAACCAGAAAATAAGACCTTTAGCATATTTTGCTTCAGGCTTCTAATAGGTGGAAAGAACAAGGTTGTTATAACTGACCTGCTCTTTAAGTAAATGAATAAAACGTCCCTGCTGCAACCCATTAATTTACTAAAATAACCAAATCTTTTAACATGTTTGAGAAAGTAATACACTCCATGGGGCCATCAGACCATATAAACTATTGCAAACTTTCCCCATATTGAGCTGTAGTCCGAGATATCTAAACAGAATAACCATAAACTAAAAGCCTAAAGAGTATGATTTATATGTCCACAGCCATTTGCAGTTTGGAAAAAAATTAAAGGGTTCTTCCTTAAACCATGACAGTGGAAGGACAGCCGAATTTCTCCTGGGTGCGTTTGACACTGAATGATGTTAAATTGAAGCTCCCTGCAACAATACAAGTCCGGTCCCTTTCTTTCCTTTCTGAGAGGTCTGTATTTTAGACCAAGGTTCAGTGTTGACATGCAGATTTGCCTATAAATGATTAAATGTTCTATCCACTCTGGCATTAGGGAGTTGTGCTCAAGACTCCTGAGAAAGCATTTTCCTTCATTACAGTCAGGAAAAAAAGAAATTCTACTCTGTTCAAATTTGAAAGAAGCGATCCAGTCACAAATTTCCATTGCTATATTTAAAGAAATTATATAAAATTAATAACAAGTCTAAAGAAAATTAAAGTTAGAGGGGGAGCAAAAAGGTGTTTTTTGCTTTCAACAGATTAAATGAAATGCCTTTGCTACAATGATGTTTTCCTGGTAAAAGAATGTTGTTCTGCTAGGGATAATTATGGTAATAGGAATTAAGGTAATTTAAACTCCAGTGAAAGAGTTTAAGAGATTCTTATGTTTCAGGGAAACCTAAGAATATGCTTAAAATTCTGGTTGTTTATGCTGCCATTAAAATAGCTATGTGGGTACCAGATTAACTTTATGCATCAAAGGAATCAACAATATTGAATAAAACTACTAAAATAACCCAAGTTTCCACTAAGTAGGGAGTTTCCATTTGCTATGTGCTTCGAGTGGAGTGTTAGGTTTTCTCTGTGAACCCAAATGCCCTCACACTGCATCATTTTCCAATGCAGAACACTGAAACTTTTCCTTCAATGCACCATTTAAGGAAGTAAATGTCCTCCCCAAAAGACACTAATGTTCCATATCTAGCAAATGACCACATTGGTATAATAATCTGGAATCCCTAGCTACACTCAGTTTATGAAAAGATGTCCTTTTATAAATTTCACAATAGGCTGATTTTCATTTTGTAAATGTGTTTCATTGTGTAGTGTCATTCGTCATTCCCATTCAGTGATGAAGTGACTCTACTGTTTGAGGCCCGATGCCACAGGTTAAAGTCAGACAAATGAGTCACATTGGATTTGGTCCCAATTAAGTGCTTGCCAGCAATATAACAGATGAGTCTATCACCAGCATTTTAAAATCACTTTTATT